ACATCAGCATGGGCTGACCATATATGGGTTAGACCTGGGTGTGGATATGTAGGCCCCAGTCCTTTTATATGTGGGCTAACTGGGAATGGGATAGAACTGGGCAAAACTATGTGGGGCCCATGTGGTTTCAGTATCATGGGCCCAACATGGGGAGACCATGTGGGCTGACCACACTGAACCCACATGACATGAGCATGGGCTCATGTCATGGGCCCAACATGGGGAGACCATGTGGGCTGACCACACTGAACCCACTGTGGGTTCAGTGTGGTCAGTACATATCCACGCCCAGGTTGGACCTGGGTGTGGATATGTAGACCCCAGTCCTTTTTTAAGTGGGCTAAATGAGACAAAATTGTAGAACAATGTACAGGGGTTGGACAATGAAACTGAAACACCTCTCATTTTAGTGTGGGGGAGGTTTCATGCCTGAATTGGACTAGCCTGGTGGCCAATCTTCATGAATTGCACATTGCAACAGTAAGAGCAGAGTGTGAAGGTCCAATTAGCAGGGTAAGAGCACAGTTTTGCTCAAAATATTGCAATGCACATAACATTATTTGGGACATACTGGAGTTCAAAAGAGGGCAAATTGTTCACCAAGACAGCAAGTCTTTGTGATTATCAAGAGCCACAGTATCCAGGGTAATGTCAGCATACCACCAAGAATGACGAACCACATCTAACAGGATTAACTGTGGATGCAAGACGAAGCTGTCTTAAAGAGATGTTTGGGTGCTAACCCGGATTGTATCCCAAAAACATAAAACCACGGTGCCCAAATCACGGTAGAATTAAATGTGCACCTCAACTCTCCTGTTTCCATCAAAACTGTCCGTCGGGAGCTCCACATGGTCAATATACACAGCCGGGCTGCTATAGCCAAACTTTTGGTCACTCGTATCAATGCCAAACGTCGGTTTCAATGGTGCAAGGAGCGAAAATCTTGTGCTGTGGACAATGTGAAACATGTATTGTTCTCTGATGAGTCTACCTTTACTGTTTTCCCCACATCCGGGAGAGTTACGGTGTGGAGAAGCCCCAAAGATGCATTCCAGCCAGAGTGTTGTATGCCAGAGTGAAGCATGGGGGTGGATCATTGATGGTGTGGGCTGCCATATCATGGCATTCCCTTGGCCCCATACTTGTCCAAGACGAATTGATGCTGTATTGGCCTCAAAAGGAGGCCCTACACCACGCTAATAAGTTATTGTGGTCTAAAACCAGGTGTTTCAGTTTCATTGTCCAACCCCTGTAGTTAACCTGTCACTTTCAAAATTTTGACTGTATGTCAAAGCAAAAGCTGCAAGAGCAAGATTCTCAAAACTTGGAAAGAATTACCCGAGATGTCAGCTTTATAGTCTTTGCCAAGGCAATTGTTACTCAGCTGGCCTCTAATGGAGTTGATGTAAGGTAAATTGTAGAATTTAATTTTTTCCTTGTAGGAAACCTCGACGATAGTAAAGGTTGGTGACCTTGACCATTGTCGAGGTCTCCAGGACGAAGGTGACCTCGTCTTGGAGATCACCCAAGGATATATTTTGCTGATAGAACAGAACATCCATGTCTTCCTAATGTTTGAACCTAAAACATGTTCACTGTGTGATATCTATGCCTGGCTCATTTACAAACACTAGGCTTCCAGAGGACCAGGATATTAAAACATTAAAAAATAATTCTACAATGCTTTATTTTTTTAAACCAGTTCAGTATTGCTCTAGCCACACTTTGAACCCTTAACATTTTTCATGTTATTATTTTATGCTAGAACAGTCCAGTCCAGTCTCCAAGCCAGTACGCATGAGTGGGCCCCCCTTGGGTTTGTAGTAGGCCATATGGGTAATGAGTGGTCATGGGTTTTATCTGGGCAAACCTCATGGGACACATATGGTTAACTAAAATGGGACCCGTATGGGCTGGCCCATTTGGGCTAAATGTATGGGCCCTATTCAGCAACAATGTGGGCTAACTGGAAATGGGACAGAAATGGGCAACACTATTTGGGGCCCATGTGGTTTCAGTATCATGGGCCCCACATGAGAAGCCCAATGTGGGCTGTCCACATTAACTAACATGACATGAGCATGGGCTAACCATACATGGGTTGGACCTGGGCAGGAAAATGTAGCCCCTAGTACTTTTTTTCATGGTCTAAATGGGACAAAATTGTAGAACATTTTAATCGACAATGTGGTTACCCTGTCACTTTCAAACTTTTCACTGTATGTCAAAGCAAAAGCCAGTTCAGTATTGCTCTTGCTACACTTTGAACCCCTAACTTTTTTTTCATTTTATTATTGCAGTCTGAATGTATTAAAACATTTTTTTGAAATAATCTGTTTGAAATATACGTAAACTCATATTCTGGTGCTTACTCAAATTAAGCACAGAGTGGTCATGGTTGAGCTTTAGTCCTTGTTTTATTTTTAATAATAATAACTTTTTATTTTATTTTTATTATTATTTTTTATCAATTGGATGTTTAGACATCCATAGAGTTTACTGCAGCCTGTTCGCAGCAAGATTTAAATTTTTATTTGGACAAATAGTTCAGATCAGACCATTGTGAAAAATATCACAAATGTTTTAGAAAATAAACAAACTCATTAGTAAGTGAGAGACAAGAGTAAAATTTTGAGCATCTGTTTTTTCATATATTTGCAAACATTTTCCAAGTCATCAGTATAAATAAAATAAAAAATAAAAAAACGTAACATTTCTGTTAATGATTCATTTGGTTCCAATTACCTTTTTGTTCATTGTTTGCTCTGAGGCACCGTTGCCAATAAAGGTTGGTGAATTGAAGTACCGGTAGGCACTTTACACATCCACTGAAGAAAATAGTTCCAAAACATATTTGAATAAGGAGGACAACGAAATGTATTTATTTACATTGAGAACTTTGCTACATCGGTTTTACATTTGTTAAACCGATGTAGCACTCTCAAAAATTAATCTTGTGTTTCTTGGAAAACGTAAAATGACCCGCGGATGGATATGCGGTTTCAAAATCAAGCCTGTTCTCTTCATCAGTCCGTTGGCGCGGAGTCTGCCGGCTGATCTACGAAAGAATCTGTAAGTACATTTCTTCTGTTTTACCTAGTACCAAATTTAGGGAGAGATTTTAAATCGCTTGTTAAAAAAATTGTTGCTCGTAACAAATCGGACGACAGTATCCCAAAAGAGACTTAATTGTTATTGTTATTTTTGCTTTTCTTTAGGGTGATACTTTTTCTGATATTGCTAACACACACAGCTACACACAATAAGCAGATTTTAGTGCAGACCGATTTCAAACGCAGCGTTGTGGGCCAAACCATTTTCAAATACCGCCGCCATTCTATTTGTTGAGCTGCCATTGGTTCATTTGAGCGCCAACGAGGCAGAATGAAATCGGTTCACTGAAGAATCTATGTTGCTAGCAGAGGTTGTTACAAAGTGTCTGGACACAATAAAACCATTTGTATGATTTAAAAAGAGTAACTATTGTGCTTTCATTCTATGTACTTGGGCTTTTAATAATCTTTCTCACAGTCACATCAGCATGCATGGGTGGGTCTCATGTATGGATTCAGGCTGGTTTGGCTGGGACCCATGCAAGATTATTATTGTCGTTTTTTTCAATAAAACTGCATTGAATCGTTTAGCTTTGGGCTATATAGGTAATGATAAGAGGGCATGGGTTTTATCTGGGCCAACTGCGTGAGGCTCAAAAGGTTAACCGAAATGGGACTCATATTGTTGGCTCAATTGGGTTAAATGTATGGGCCCAATTCAGCATTAACGTGGGCTAACTGGGCATGGGACAGAAATGGGAACACTAAATGGGCCCATGTGGTTTCAGTATATTGGGCCTAAAAGGTTTTTTGTAAATAGGATGAAGGCATTGTAGTTCATTTTTTAAATTCTTTTTTTTAATTGTTGTGTGACACTTTAAGCGTTTTGTTATGTCATAGTTTATTTCAATCTGCCGCTATTGTGTGGTCTAGAGTAGTCATCAGTGTCAGGGTTCCTGTGTGTGTATGTGAGTGTCACATCTTATTTCAGCGAGGATCTTTGTGAGGACCCGTGGAGCTTGGCACAGGTGGAGGAGCAGCAGAATCTTCAGTCTACGCTAGATTGACTGCTAGATGGTTGCATACACCGGTAGTCACTCTGGCCTCTCCTGTTGTGAACAGTTTTCTGAGAACGTTTCTGTGTCTACTAGAAGTCACCTGGTCTCTGTGTTTGTTCGATCCTAGGGGTTTTGTCGCCTCATTCGAGAACTCACCAGTGAATACCTCGTGCTCGCTCCGCCGATTCACTGCCTCCACTCCACCCTTCGAGCTTCCAGCTCTCTTCCATTCCCACCTCGCATTTACCTTCGGAACCGCTGCACACCCTCTCTCAGGAACCTGGCATCTCACACCCACGCCTCGAAAGACCCGCACCAAAGTAAGCCTGTTCCTGTTTCCCCTCCGATCAGTCATTCTAAGCCCGTCATAACTAAGTTCTCGTTTCAGGCCAACCTGGTCGAGTGGTCCTCACCCTTCCGCTGATGTCCGGGAAATAGATTTTATTTTGTCCTGTTGTAAATAAATCACTCACTCATCCCTATCCAACGTGTGGTTACTGCATGTGGGTCCGTAAATTGAAACCCATCATGTCAATCAGTGGCCAAGCCTGAAACAAATATTGAAAGATGAAGAAATTCTTTTTGATATTTTTGTAATATTTAGCTAGCAGTTATGTGAAATGTACTTATATTTAATTGTAGCTCTAATTTTTTTATATGTGAAATGTTTTAGGCTTTATTAGTTACATTTATAGTGATTTTCTAAACTTCTCTTAAGAGTAATACTACTGTCTTAGTCCTGTCACGTTAACAAAGAAATTAGGATAATTGCAAAACTGTTCAGTGTTTACAATATAAGGCTTCAGTAGTTAATCTATACAAAGGCTGTTTGCCTTAATTTTTTTATTTTTTTGAAAAGTCTAAATGTTATATTGCACTCATAAAATATATATTTTTGCAGGCTTCAAGAGGATCAGCGTGTGAAGATCACTTTATAATGATTTGAAAAAGGTAGATTAATATGTTAGTGAAATTAAGCACATAAGAGTGATATAATGACAAACTGATGAACAAAAACAAAATGTTTGTCCTGTTATTGTCATTGTACTTAAGGTTGCCATGGCTGCAGAAATTGGAGGAGCATCCTTAGATGACACAATACAACCAGCTGTGCGATTCCTCATGTCCCATGAACTGGAAGTCCAGTTCAACCTTTTTGGCCAACATTGGAAACAAGCTCTTGGACCTGCGTCTCTTTGATGTTTTGTATGGTAAATATCAGTTTTTATTGTCAGAGTAACTTTTTTTTTTTCACTTTTCTTTCTTAAACATATGTTAATTTATTTTGGTTGTTTTATGCTTTTGTTTGTTATTTTTAGTAATGTTTTTAGGTTAAAAATTGAGTCTTCAATTTTTGGTTTTATTTGAACAGTATTCTTTCACTGTTGTTAAGAACTTAAAAATTTGAAGGTAATATTGTTTGCATTTCAAACAATATTAAAATAACCACAAAACCACGATAGAACCTATTAGTTGATTTATATAGATGGATATATTTTAAATTTACAGTAAGAATATAGTTTCTGTACATAATAATGATGACTCAAGAGTCCTTTTGATTATGGCATATCTCTGCAAGCATTTTTGCCCCATGAAGGGGGAGATGCAAATCTCATGAATGTTACATTGTGCTAAAATGAAACACTAATACAATTTCTACCTTTGCTTGTTATTTCAGGGGACTTAAAAGAAATTATCCATCTACAGAATCACACAAGCATACAGCAAAGACTCTCGAAGTGGTTTACTGGAGCCCGAGTGGAAGTGGAAATAGACTAGAGAGACTGCCAGTTCAAACTCAGGTTGGGGAGGTCTTTCAAGATGGACAGTTTCAGTAAAGTATGAGAGATTTCAAATTTAAGCATGCATATGGCATGTAGGTTATTTTTAAAAATGTTTAACAAAAATGTATTGTGAAAGATCTATATAGGTGTGTATATTCACATTGTGTGTATCAATGTGAATATACGTGTATAAAGTTATATAGATAGTATTTAGATGTATACATTTATAGACCTGTAGGAAAATATGTAGGTGTCTTTATTTGTGTGCATCTATAGATATATATTTATAGATCTGTTTATAAGTTTGTTATAGTAAACTAGCTTCTGTTATTTTCAAAGATGTCGTGAATAATTGCAGATTTCTTTTTGTGGCACCATTCCCTGAGTATTAATGAAGTTCTAATAATTGCTGTAGTGAGGTAAAAAATAACTCCTGACAATATTTTAAATTACTAAATAAAAGCCTTGAGCAAAATAAATTTTTCATCTCTTTTTTTTTATTTTTTATTTGAACACGTTTTAAGCTAGACTTTGGATTGTTGATCAAGATTGCATATCTATGAATGTAATTCACATCCAGGTTAGATGAGAATTGTTCCTACAGGATTAAGGCATCTGGGTCCCGCTGAAAGCCCAGTTAGTACCCATAAAAATCTACTTGGGCAAACCCATGTGGGGCCACCATGGAAACTGTGGACAAACCCACTTGGTACCCATATTCTAGCCCAGTTCAGACCCAATTGGGACCCACGTAAATATTCTTGACAGCACCCTAGTGGCCACAGATGGGCCTCATGTGAGTTAACCACATGGGCCCCACTGAAAACCCAGTCAGCACCCATTAAAATCTACTTGGGCAAACCCATGTGGGGCCACCATGGAAACCGGGACAAACCCACTTGGTACCCATATTCTAGCCCAGTTCAGACCCAATTGGGACCCAGGTAAATATTCCTGACAGCACCCTAGTGGGCCACAGATGAGCCTCATGTGAGTTAACCATGTGGGACCCACTGAAAGCCCAGTCAGCACCCATTAAAATCTACTTGGGCAAACCCATGTGGGGCCACCATGGAAACCGTGGACAAACCCACTTGGTACCCATATTCTAGCCCAGTTCAGACCCAATTGGGACCCAGGTAAATATTCCTGACAGCACCCTAGTGGGCCACAGATGGGCCTCATGTGAGTTAACCATGTGGGACCCACTGAAAACCCAGTTAGCACCCATTAAAATCTACTTGGGCAAACCCATGTGGGGCCACCATGGAAACCGTGGACAAACCCACTTGGTACCCATATTCTAGCCCAGTTCAGACCCAATTGGGACCCACGTAAATATTCTTGACAGCACCCTAGTGGGCCACAGATGGGCCTCATGTGAGTTAACCATGTGGGACCCACTGAAAACCCAGTTAGCACCCATTAAAATCTACTTGGGCAAACCCATGTGGGGCCACCATGGAAACCGTGGACAAACCCTTTTGGGACCCATATTGCCTGCCCACTTATATCCCATATGGGGCCCACCTAGGTGTGCTGGCTGGGAAGTTCCATATATCATTGATTCCATTGCCCCAATTAAAGTAAAGGTTGTGTCTGGTACAAAGAAACCTCCACGGAGAAATGCGCAAACAATTCGATCTGCGACACGACTCCGCCGCGGGGCGGAACGAAAATGGCGTAAAACACTATTTTTTCTATAAAAATAATAACAAAATTAAACACAATTATATTTTCCCTTGAAACTCGTTTCTCAACTGTAATATCGCTGAAAAGATGATCGCTGTTAAGTATTTTTTTCTAAATCGTATTGTTAAGAATTTACGAGAAATATCTTGATTTAGCTCATTCAGGCCAACATTTGTCTGCAAAGTTATTGAAAGAACTGTGTGTAAACAATTAAATCGTTTCCTCATGATGTCCCACTGCTTTGACTCTTTCCATGGGCCTGTCCAACAAATCGATCAAATAGCTGCAGCTGATCCAGAACGCTGCTGCTGCTGCTGCTCGCGTTCTCACTAGAACCAGGAAGATAGAGACATAACACCAGCTTTAAAGTCCCTCCACTGGCTCCCTGTAGCTTAAAGAATAGATTTTAAAATACTGTTGTTAGTTTACAAATCACTGAACGGTTTAGCACCACAATACATCAAAGATCTGCTGTTGTTGTATCAACCTTCCAGACCTCTCGGGTCTTCTGGTTCTGATCTACTCTGCATCCTCAGAACCAGAACCAAGAGAGGAGAAGCAGCTTGCAGCATCTATGCACCACAAATTTTGACAAAAACTTCCAGAAAACCGTAAAACGGCGAAAACACAGACTTCCTTTGAATCTCCGCTAAAAATGCACGTCATGTTTTGATAGAAACGTCATCAAATGCCTTCCTGCGAAAAGTGCTATACAAATAACATTTGATTGGATTTGATTTAAGGTGGAAGGGCCGGATCGAGCTCAGTGACGTCAGCTGAATTCGTCGGTGCCGCTAGGAGCGAGCTCGTCCCGGCGGGTCGACGTTTCGGGCAGAGAGAAAAACAGTGATTCGCATTCATCTTGTATTTATCTTGTTCAGCAGATTTCTCGTGTTTTCTTTTTTGTTTTTTTGTTTATTTATTTTTTTCTTTGCTGTTGTTTTTTATTCCTGTTTCCAGAGTCTGAGTCTATCTGTGTGTGCTTGCTTTATTTATAAATGGTGGAGTTAGACTTTTTTTATTTTTTCAGATTTCAGCAGCTGTTGTTTCTGTAGCAGTCATTCTCTATCAAAAATGACTGCTTCAAATAACCAATGATTAGGAAATCCAAATTTATACCATTGTGATAAATACCAAACACCTGATTCCCCGTTCTCTAATTGTAATTCTGCAAACCTCCTACAATTTAAAGCATTTATTTAAAAAGTTTATCCGAATCCTCGGTCTGAATTTATCAAAACTCATTCTACATTAAACCTACAGGAATCGGTCTCAACTGATAGACCTACAAACCTTAACATGTTTTGTGTCTGATCCGACCCGGTGGAGCTTCGGAAGAGTCCTCTTCTTCTCGGCGGACCTGCCGGAGATTTGGAGGAAAACCGGCTTGATGATCGGCCCTCTTCTGACGTCCGCCGACTTGGATGAACCGGCGGCAAACTGTCAAGTGCACAATTCAGACACTGAGGTCCAGAGAAAAGTCAGGGAGCAAACACAATCTTTTAATACGTCTGCAGATGGAGACGCCGAAACACGGTAAGGAAACGGAAGACCGCAGGAAGCGACTGGAGGCTGTTATTTTGGCTACTAAATATTAGTTTCGCTTTTATGTTGAGGTGCCCGTATTTTTACACCTCTGCACATTTTCATTTAGTCCAATAAACCTCATTTCTATACTGAAATGTTACTGTGTCCATAAGTGATTGGTTATATAAAACTCTAAAAGTTATTGCAAAGATCCAAAAATTTCGAAATACTAATCATTACGATTCATAGGGGGTGCCCAAACTTCTTCATATGACTGTAACTTGAAGAGCATCTTCCGTTTATGCAAAATGTCGCCCTCTGCCGGTAAGACGCAAGACTCCCCGGTTACCATGCCGACAGGATCTCCGAGTCAGCTCCGCTTTCAAGTTCTGCTGTCGCACCGCTAATTTTCAAACAATCTCTTGCCGAAACAGGTCAGCTTCTCCCTTTTCATATTCACCCGCTTTATTTCACATATTCACTTAAGCGGCTGAGAAGCAAACGCTTCGCTTTCTGTGTTGCCTTCAACTGTCCTGTTACAGCCGAGCTGTTTGGACGTAAACCGCGTCGCTTCGACGTGACGACTGACCCACGGTTACAAATCAAGAGCACGACTGGTTCCAGCTGGTAAGCAACCGGAACCGCAGTAGTGAAGAACCGTTCAAAAGGAAACCGATCAGAAAGCGAAATCAAGTCAAATGTCGAAAAAAAAACTACCAGAGAAGCGGCTGAACTGCTCTACGGCGCTTCCGCCACCAGGGGCGCTGTTTTACAGGTTTTATACACAGTTTATAAACTACATCAAAACGACATTAGGTCATTTCGTGCTACCCAACAATAAATAAATAAATACTATCGTTCAATCTGTCGTCTGCAGGAAGAGTTTAAAAAACAACAACCAAATATTCAAAAATTATCTGGTTATTCAGAAAAGAGACTACGATACTGACTCGGCGGAATATGCAGAGAAAATAAAACGCTTTGCAAACGTTGCGCTAAACTAACCTGGTCCGTGTGAGCAAAACGGTGGATGTTTTCCTGCTGTTTGTTGAATATTCCTTAATTTCAACATTACACTTTTAAAACAATTTACAAAAAAATGAAAGAATGCAAACGGTGAATGGCCTTCTTCGAGTTGTTGTTTTTTTTTCTTCTTTCCTTTCTTTGGTTTCTTGAAAAATATTTCTCCGTCAAACTCATACGTTTTACTTCTATTTTGGAAAGACGGTGACGGAAAAAAAGGTCTGGGTAAGAGCACCTGAAAGTCTGCGCCTTTGCACCTCTACGTCCTAATCGTTATTTTTGAGATTTCTATAGGTATGCTTGAAACGGAACCGGCTGACCTCTCGTGACCTGCCGCCGGCCACAGAGAATCCCCTCGTGTTTCGGAGATGACCTTCTCGCTCCTCTCAACAAATGGAAGGAATGTGCTTTCGCGAAAACCCTTTCCCGCTCTCTTCTGCCGTAGATCCGTACCCGTCGCTCCCCCCGGAGCCGTCGGCGTCGGGATGTCCGGGAACGTTCCCGCCGACGCGGCGGGCTCCCTTCTGGACCGGGCCCTCGACTCCGCCGTCTTCCTGCTGCGCTCCTTCGGCCCGACCGCCTTCCTGCTCAGGGAGGACGGGGAGACCAAAAACTTCAAGGTGGGTGGCCTGGGTGTCCTCCGAAAACGCTTCGGGAACCGACGGGATCCACCGTGTCCTCTCGTTGTCCAGGTGTGTTTGGGCGAGCGTCACACCTGCACCTGTCCGACGTTCGCCAGGGAGCGGCGGCCCTGCAAACACGTCTGCTGGTATCGCTTCTCCCTTTGATTCTACTGTTGTCCGGGTTCTTCGCCTTGAACGTGACCCTGTCGTAACCGTGAGAAAACAACAATCGCAAACACTGTTTATGTGATTTGCTAAATAATGAGCCTTTTCATGTCTCCTGTTCTACTGTTTCACACCGGTTAAAGAAACATTTTCATGCAAACCCATAAAGTCTGTCATTACAAAACGCTCAACTGAACCTGCTTACTCCCAAACCTGTGTGCCGTTCCAGGATTTTACTCAAGAAATTCCACCTACCCAGAGAACACCAGTGTAAGCTTTGCCGCTTCCCGTACCTTTTCTGCTTTGGATGAGAAAGCGAGTCTGACGGCCGCTGACCCGTTTTTCTGCCGCAGATGCCTCTCTGCCGGGCCTGTCGGAGCGCCAGATGATGGAGGTTCTCCAGGGTTCGCACCGGGCTAAGGCCCCCGCCGCTGCTGGACCTCGGGCTTCGGCCTCCGAAGAAGAGACCGGACTCGTCGGCCGGAAAGAGATCGACGACCGCGACGTCTGTCCCATCTGTCTGGAGGGGCTCCTGTTGAAGAAACAACCCGTGTGTCACTGCAGGTGGGTTTCCGTCGACCGTTTCCGTCGCTTACCTCGGTTTCTGGGCCGATGTGTCTTCACGAACCGGCGTCTGTCCCCGTAAGGTACGGCTGCGGTAACGGCGTCCACATCTCCTGCATGAATGTGTGGGCCGACCACCGGGACCCGTCGGACGGCCGGGAGATGCTGCGGTGCCCCCTGTGCAGGGAGAGCTTCGGCTCCCTGAGGCTGCTCCGGGAGCAGGCCCGGAACGCGGCCCGCCTCTTCACGGCGGCCGAGAGGGAGCGAGCAGAGAGACACCTGGGAGTGGTCTGCTACTGCTGCACGGTGGGCCCGGTCACCGGGACCTGTTATAGGTGAGCGGAACCGAAGAGACGCCCCGGCGGCTGAGCCGCCCGCCCGTGCCGAGCGATGCTTTCCCGTCGCTGGGCACGGAATGGCGGCTGTGGCACGTGAGCCGAAAGGAACCCCGGGTGGCACGGACTCGCCGGTACCAAAGAACCGCGTGTCTGAGGCGACTCCGTCTGAGCCGCGGCGTCGTACACTTACGGTCTCGAGCTACTTGTCGCTGATTTTAGTGAGCTTTTTGTTGCCGTAAGAGTGTCGACGACTCCCGACGTCGCTTTGAGAGTTAGGATGAAGCGAATCGGAGAAACTAAACAGAACCCGACCGTACTCTCCAAGCAAAAAAAGACAAACGACTTGCTGTCCTTAGTTAAAGGGAAACCCAAAAGAATCTCCAGAGTGGGACGAGAAAAAGAAAGACTCTTCTCGTGAATGTCGTTTACAGCTCAGAGTGCCGGTTGGTTCTTCTCTTCATTTTCCGTCCTGTGCTGCCACCGGTTCCTCCCGGTGATTTTAAAGTAGGAAGAAACCGGACCGGTTCTCTCGCTTTGACGCTCCGACGCGGAATAGTGTTTATCTTATGAGAGAAAGCAGATCGATTGTGATTATGTCTTTGGCAGATGCCTCCTCTGCAGCTCTCTGTATTTCTGCGAGACCTGCGTAAAGAAAGGGAGCCACTCCCAGCATCCCCTCGCGTCGAGAACGGTAAGGCTCTGCGATGGAACCTCGGCCTGTCGCCCGTACCGGCTTCTGAACTAAACTCGCTTTTTCTTTCCAAACAGACGAGACAAGAAGAGTGGACTCCCGCGTCTGCGAGCTCCGCCCCGGATCCGGAGCCGCCGGCCGGCGGGTGCGTAGAGGGAGGGTTCGGTTCCGGCCGTGCTCAGGCGGTAGCCCGGTGTCGCCTTCCCCTCCGCCGCGGTCCGCCGGAGCCTCCCGCGGACGTCGTGTTGGAGCGTGTTCCCGCGACCGTGGTGAGGCGCGGTTCTCGGCTGCTGGACGAGGGGATGCAGTGTCGGATCTGCCTGCGGGCATTCCGTGAGGGTCAGCGGCTCAGAACTCTGCCCTGTCGACACGAGGTACGCGCGCTCTTCCCCCTGGCCCTGCTGCTCTTTTGGAGCTTTCCCGTAAGATGAGAGCTAAACGCTCTCGGTATAGCTCTCGTGTTTGGTTCGTCGGCTTCGGCTCTTCGGACTAAACTTGAGCTGGGACGTTTCTCTGCTGACCGATCCAATCTTTGTGACGCTTGGTTCTAAATGCTCTTTGAAAGCACCCTGGTGTTTGTTCGTCTGTTCCCTCAGTTTCACCTGGACTGCGTGGACCCCGTCCTGCTGAGGTCACGCTCCTGTCCCTTGGACGGATACGTCGTCTACTGTCGGAGACCGACGGACGGGGACGGCTCTCCCGAGGTCGCCTCCGTCCGGCGGCGGGAAGATCGCCTGAACGACCTGTTTGTCCCCGGGACGGCCCTGCTCGCTCAAAGTGAAAGACCCTCTCCCGTGTGCGCACCTCCGACCGCCGACGTACCGACGGACGCCTTGTCCTTCGGTCGTCTGCCTCGCGACTTCCGCAAAAAGAGCCTGGGCGACGCGGCGGCCGAGAAAGGCAAAGTGCGTTCGAAAGACGTGGACGAGGACGCCGATCGACACGCCGTGGGAGATGGCTTGGAGTTGACGATGACCGGCTTTTCCATAAACAAACGATAAAAGCGTGCCAGTACGTCGGTGCTTTTTCGAGCGTTTTCACCTTGTTGTGAGATCGATAAAGATGATTCAGAGTTTTTTGGTATGAACAAAGTTTATTAAGCAATATCTCAAAAGATGCAACAATTACAAGAACACTTCACATCACTACAAAGTCAAAAATACAAGCTGTGGCCCGTTCGGATGGATAGGATGGTTCCGTACTGGCGAGAGCGTGGCGCGTTTAACGCAGATTACGTTCGTGTGGATCGATGTGTTTGTCGTGTTTCTCGTCTCGCCGAAGAAGCCGGAGACGTCGCGTCTTCCGGCTCCGTCCGCAGAGACCGCCTTCTTTCGAATAGAAACCCCGCGAAAAAAAGAAAAAAAACAATCGACAAACGAGATGACGTCGTTAAACTACCGCTTGCGGAAAATGGTATTTACGTAGAAAAGCAAACGCTCCGACCTACGGAATCGAGCGTGGATCGTGACTAAAAGTGTGCTGGCGGTAGAGCTACGATGGAAGACTATAAAGGTGAAGTTGAACTCCGAGACGTATTTGTTTGCGCTGACGATTACTCGATTTCAAATGTCTCTGAAGGCTATGTGACTTCACGTACCGAGGCCGATGACGGTGTCGCGGTGGCTACGTGTTTGGAATCCTAATCGATGCTTTTTGGTCCTCTGTGTGTTCTTCGGATTATACGGAAACGCCAAAAGTTTGGAAAACACTGTCTTTTATGCTTTTCTTCACAAATTATTTTCCATAAAGTCTTCTTCTTGCAAAGTATACTGACATGTTGTTTTGTGCTTCCAAACGTTTGGCCTGCCCTACAAGCTTACCAAAAAAGAACTATAAAAGATGAACGATATTGTCATTTGCGGTGATTCCTGGAACTTTAGTTAGGCTCTGTCTTTTTTTTACCAAATGCGTAATAGCGGTGGGTACCGGTCCGTAAGTTATGTGTCTGAAACCTTTTTTTTTTTGGGTCGCTTTTAAACTCTGGTCCCGACATCGATCGGCTTTCGCTTTCCGCGACTCGCAAACTGAGCCGTGTGACCGACTCCCTTGGCGGTCGAAAAGCGTGGAAACGTTCCGTCCGCTTCGACCCTCCGTTTGAAGGCCGATCGTTCGAATCGTCCGCAAAAACGTAAAAAGTGTATCGAGATCCCGGCCCGAAGTATCCCGGCTGGATCGGCGGACGGTTAAAGTAAAACCCGTTTTACGTCGAAGCGTATAAAACCCCTGAATGTGTTTCTAAACTCGGAAATAAACAAAAATTGGCTCTTTCGCTCCTCTCCGACTTTTGAGTGAAAATCCCAGAGTCGGAATAGTCGCCGCTGGCGGCGCTACGCCGAGTAGTACGACGAGAGCAAACGGTTCGGTCGCCGAGTTTTCAGAAACCTATTTTGACCTCCTGTTCGCTCGCTAAAGGAAACGTTTATTTTCATGCAAATAAAAGCGACCGCACTCCGAAAATATCGCATGTGGCGTGTGAACGTAACGTGGCGGCTCGGTTCTCGTGTCCCCGTTTGTCTTTCTCCCGTCGGGTGTCGCGGTCCTCTCGAGGCGGCACGTCGATAAACCGAGTGAGACGACAGAGACTTAGGAAAGCTTGTGGGATTTCTAGCAGGCGTTTGTGGTGAGGATAGGTGCACCTGGCCATCCTGCAGATTCAGATTTTCAATAAATACAAGCAAACAAATGACATTTTCAAAGGCACCGTCTGGAAAGCAAAAGCTGGGAATGGTTACCTGTCGTATCAGCTTTGAATAATCTCGCTGGTGATCTTCAGATTTCAAGAAATGACAGAATGAGGTGCAGAAACTGTTTAACCCTCCCATTGTGTTCGCACATTTCCCCCAAAACCGTTTCGCGTCCCGTTAGATCACAATGATCTACTTTTTTTTTCCTATTTCGTTGCCTGTGTGTAGTACGATCTGCTAACCTTGTCCAAGTAATCTACTTCTCCTTTGGCAGCATAATAGTCTTTCTTTCAAGACTTTCCTATTGTTCAAACTGTCCTATTGTTCAACCCTAAACCCCTTCTTAAGGATTCTAAAGATTTCACTACTTCCCTAAAGAAAATATTGATGTTTGACCCACCCCCTCTGTGTCCACTCAACATGGATCCAATTTGCTGATGAGTACCTCAGCACATTTACCTCACTGTTAACCAGTGAGGTAAAGGCAATGTAAAGGCAATGGATTTTTGGGTCTGTGTTTCAGATGAAATTAGTCTCACGCAGAGATACATAGAAATAGAACCGCTTAGGACACCTACATTTCACTGCTCTGTGTAAATGTGCGGGGGGTTAAACATTTTTGTACGCTCTTTATAAAGTCAAACAGAAGAAACTTCCAACTTTTCAAATGGCTCGATGTGACACGACACGTAACGGGAGGGTTAAAAGGCACCCGCCCTCTTCGGTGGCCTTCTGCTTTCTTTGGCAAAGTTGCGCGACGATGCCCGCCGAGTGAACGCCGATTTCGGGACGTGGTTCCCGTCGGTTTAAAGCCGGCTCTAACTTCTCTTGGTCAAAGGTCTTCCTTCCCGGACGTGCTTGGCGCTTCTCTTCTCCGCCTTTCCTCTTTCTCTCGCCTTCCGAAGTCGGCGAGGTGGCGGCGTACCTTTCGACTCGCTGTCCTCTCGAGCGCTGGACGTGTCCGTCCCGTCCCGCTCTTCGGGGATGTTGGGAATGGCTCCGCTGCTCCCGTCTAGAATGTTTCTCAGGGAAGGGTCCTCTGGCGTACACGTGGCGGTGGTGCCGCTCTCACTGCTGCTCGGGTCTTGCTCCTCGCCGTAACGGCCGCCTCTGCCGTGACGCGGCAGCGAGGAGCCCCTCGTCGACGGCCTGTCGCGCTCCACGTCGCGGACGTTCTGCGGAGGCTCGTTCATGTCCACGCCGGAGTCCAGGCTGGTGTCGTTGCTGCTCGGTGGCCTGTGGCGACTCTGGAGCTCGATGATGGAATGGCGAACCTGGGCGGCCGGTTTTCCGTCGAGAGACACGAACCAAGCCCTGGGGTGAGCCGACGACTTGCCGCGCGTCAGTTCCAGTAAGGTGCGCTCGGAGATCCCCTGGAGCTCGCCGCGGTGGCCGCCGCCGAAGGCCTCCGTGCCGGCCGCTTCGTTGAGAGTCCCCGGCACGGATACGGAGGACTCCAGGAGGTTGCTGTAGCGGCCCCAGACGCCGGCGGCGGGACCCTGTCCCGGCGGAGGTGTCTCCGGAGGCCGAGGCTCGTCCGGATCGCCCCGCTGCGGACTGCTTCCGCCTTGACGGTGGACTTTCGCTAGCGTCTGGGCGTAACCCTCTTTGCTCGCCGGCTCGCGGTGGGCATCGTGCTCGGCTCCGTTCCTGGGGAACGTGGCGGCCTTGCGGCCCGGCGGCTGCTGCTCCTGAGCGCCGAACGGCTCCGGAGCTTGAACGATTGCCGGCGGCCGGTTGTAGGCGTGAACCGCTTTGTCTCGAAAAAAGCTGTCCGAGTTCGGGTCGGCCCGGTTACGCTCCTCTTTCTCGCGTCTCCGGTCGTCGATGTAGTGCGGTGGAGGCCGGGTCCCCTTCGTCCGATCCGAACCCTCGTCGTCGTAAGGGGGAGCTGCGGTAAAACTCCCCGGATCTTCCACGTAGATGTTGTAGTTGGCTTTGTGTCTGGGCGTGGACAAAGGTTCGCACTGGACGCTGCGGGAGGTGAGGCCGTTGTCGCCTGGTCGTAGAAGCAAACCCTCCTCCGCGTGGGTGGAGGTCGTCTGGTCTTTTTTGGCTACGGTGAGTTTGGAAAAGCGGGCCCTTCTCCTCCTCGTGGCTTCTCGACGGGAACCGCTGAAAGTGGAAACGACAAAACTCAATCGGGTCGGTTATCTGGACCCTCGGCGACCTTTGTTTATATCTGCTAGAACCGAGTGTTCTTCTTACGTACCCGCAGTGACAGAGAAGCCAGGACAGGAATCCGATCGCTAAGGAAAGAGTTCCTCCCAGTATTCCCACCAAAAGGTAGGTGTGGTAAGAGATGAAATCCATAGAACTCGCGTGTCCAAAATAATCTGCAAGATCATAAGGCGATAATTAATAATTAAGGCCAAAAATCAAATCCCTGAGGCGTAAAACGTGTTTTACCTTTTGCCGAAGGGTGGGGGGCGGCGATCCAGTAGCCCAGATGGGAAGCGGTGTATGTCCAAACCAGTTCGTCGCCGACTGCTTCCACTGTTCCCAGACCGTGATTCTCCCAGGCACCTTTGCGGAACGTCGGTTCGCGTGGTCAAAACTTGTGTTTTCCGATATACTCAAAGAGTTTTACTCCTACCTGTTTTCGGGTCAAAGGCCCAGGCGGGTACTGTGTTCGAGGACCTCGAGTGAGTGTCGCGTTCCAGCGGCAGGCTGATTTGGACGGGTCCTCGGACCTGAAGCTCCTCGCCGCCGGAGTACAACTGAATGCTGACGGCCGCTACCGCCTTCAGCTCCACGCTTCTGAGCGCTGCAAAGATTTTGCCAGAGTTTCGAATCTCTATGTTCGGACGTAGAGCCGAATGAAATACTGACCGGATTTACTGCTGACGATCCCTGGGGTGCGGTCAGTGCGGTCCTTTGCCAGGTGGTGCTGTGGTACGGTCAGGTATGCCGTCAATGAAGAGATGTTGCTTTTATCAGAGACGGTGAGGAGGTTCTTGGGAAACTTGGCCTTAGGTTGGGATGACCTGTCTGCAAAAAGGGGACGAGTCCAAATCTTTTTCTGTACGTCTTTATGTGTCAATTTTCTCACTGAGACGAAGGTGAACCTACCGGGTATGCTCCTGGTGATGAGTACCGAGTCTTCAAACAGCCAGATGTTTCCCTGGCTGTGAGGGAGCAGCGGCAACGTCACGGCGGAGAAAACTGGAATAAAACCAAAATGCTGACGATAAACGACGTATTTGAGAGGAAAACTTAACTTTAAGGAGACAAAAACACTATATTAGCAGGGTGCTGGATAGGACTGGAAAACAAACATTAGAAACAAAAGTGTAATTATATACATTAACCACTAGATGGAGTCCTCATGCGCCTTCCTAGGACTCCCCCGGTCTGGATCCCGAGCACAAAGGGGAGGTGTCTCTGAAAAAAGCTGAGCCATAAAACACCTGCTCCATCCGCCATCCAGACAGCCACCTCCCAAACCCGTACCCGCTGGGAGACGCGGGACAATAGAGAGGGGCCCTTTGTCCCGTTAAAAGCCCCCGGCCTCCCTGTGTCTGAGCGGGACAAAGACGGTCCGGTGACACGTCGACGGAGTCGATAAAACAAGCAGAGCCCATCTTGTGTGTTGTCACAGGCGGCCCCCCCCTCGTGAATAATGCAGATGTGAGGGAAGCAGAGGGTTCTGCTGACTTTACTGTAAAATAACACGCAAGGTTTTCCCAAAGTCTCCGTGAAAAACTCACTTGGTCTCCTGGTGGTGGTCCAGGGCAGGGGAGTGGGCACGTACCCCTCCTTACTGCCCAGCAGAGTCAAACTGACGCCCGGATCGTAGGGCACCCGGAGCAGGACCTCCCCGTCCTCCCCCGTCTGGGCCGAACTCTTCGAGGTGTGGTTCAGGTAGACGTCCACAGAGACCCCGGCCAGGGGCCGGCGGGTCACCAGGTCTCTCGCCAGAACCTTCAGGAAAAACTGGGCTTCTGGGGAGAAAGCAAGGAGGAGATGAGAGCTGCGTGTGTTGATGAGGAGAGAGGACCACGAAACGGTCAAGAGGCGAGCCGCAGCCTAGAGGATGGAAAATCACACCGACACGTTAAAACGTCCGAGAGCTTCACCTCCGATCCACCGGGTCCTCGTTAACACCGAGGCTCCAGGTCAGCGGCTCGAAGTTAATAATGACGACACTGTTTTGGAGCGCCGTCCTGTCTCCCGACAGAAACGGCGCCTCTCTGGGTTTGCCCAGCCATCATCGTCTGCTGGTGTTTTACCTGTAGCCAGAGCCGAGGTGTCTCCCACGGCGGCTGAGACGCCATTGTCCCCGAGCGGAGATGGGGGTGAGGACAGGCCTCCGCCCTCCGCCGCCGCCGCTCTCAGCGGGCCATCCAGGCAGATCAGGAGCGAAGACGGGAGAAAGAGGATCAGCAGCGGCGGCAGGGAGCGGTCGGCGGCGGACATGGCGGCAGGCCGGCGGGGATCAAAGGCATAACGAGGCAGGCGCGAGCGGAGAGCGCGAGGGTCGGGAGGTCCGGCGGTGTTTGTGCGCGTCACGCGGGGCCGAGGATGGAGGGGAGAAGATGGAGAGATGCGCTGATGCTGAGCGTGTGTTCGAAGATCGTCTGACGTAAACAGATGCCCCACTACTCGGCTGAAATGAAGCCAACCTAAAAGTAGAATCCGTTTCGTATAAAATATAGATTTGATTTTTAAATGGCTGTGCTCAAACGTGGTGCATCTCCATGCGGAGAGTTATGTAAAAAAAAATAATAATAAACATTTATAGTGAGGCATCTTTGACGAAACAGCATCTTTGAAAAGATCGAATCTCTTACGTCATCGTTGATGTGAAAAACTCTTATAATCAATATTACAGCAATAAAATAAATGGCAAATAATTGTTTTGTCAACTGTTTCATTATTGGCTCAGGTATGATTTAGAAATGAAAACAAGCAATGAATCTTTGACTCTTATTCTGAAGGGTTTTAGACAACAGAATAGACCCAGCTAGATTATACCAACTTTTAGTTGTAATTCTAAACCGACATACAAATCTCTATCCAACAGTAAAAGTCACCATATTACAAGTTTTCATCTCGTAAACATATTGCAACAGCTTTATATTTGACTTTCTCAACCCACCAAATCCCTGTGATCTGGATCCTGTCATATAAATACAAAATAATAAGAATAAAACCCAACTAATGTAGCTTATTTGCACAAGTCCTAATAAGTGATTCAACTGAGGGAGTGAGGAGATTTTTCAATGTCCCAATCGCATTAAATTATTCTCTTTTAAAGCATCTTAAGATTATTAAAAGAAAACAGTAAACATTGTATTCATAAAATAGTTCAAAGTGGTGGAACAGAAAACCTGTTCAGGATGGAAATGACATAAAGCCGCCACTAGGTGGCATCGGATACCTTGATCACAAATTCTCCTTTTCAAAATCCACTGGAAATTTCAGATTTGAGCCATTTAAAAAAAAGACATTCAAAACTGTTGCTAAATACATTGAGTTTATTAAGTTTTAGTAAAATGCTTGAAGTTCACAGTAACGAAAAACAGTGTAAAATTGTGAAAGACGTGCTCTTTAAACGTCGATTGAGGACCGAGTTAAACAAACTCAAAGTGCTACATTAAAAAACAAAGAAAAACGTGTACAACTGTTAGATCTGGATACAAAAACAATAAATAAAGGTCAGTGTGTTTTCATTTCAATTCTAAATCCACCAGATTGAGTCTCAGAGTGCAAACGTTAGTAAACAAATACATTTGTGAGATTTCTGGCAAAGTGCAACAAGGTCAGTGTTAATATGCACAAAGTCCGGCGACGCTACGGTGAGACGTTCCCCAAATACATTCCCGTATTATCGTTTTGGGCCACTTGCACGTTAAATATTGCAATCGGTCAATAAACAGATATATGCACAGTGAGTTAAGTGTGTACACAAATACATAATACTCTAAAAATGAGACCGAATGAGCCCCAACCAACAGGGATTTATTACACTTTAGCAGCATTCCTGGCAACTACACCAGATTAGTCAAATCGGTTTTATTTAAAATAAATATTTCCGTAAAAACAGTATGAGAGGTTCGTATAGTAAAAACTGGCAGCCCTCTTTGCTGGTTAGCGTCAGCGTTACCCAGCGGCCGGCGGCCTATTGCGCAACAGAGAACGGCTCGTTTTTGGCACCAAACCACCAAACTCACTGGCGTACGTCGCACACAGGTCCAGAAAGATTACCCGAGTCCTCCGAAGACATTCTGCATAGAAACGGGGAGACGGTTCGCGTGAACAGACGATCCGAGTGTTCCACGCAGCGTCTCGGATCCGAGGCCTCGCGGCCCCCGACGCGGCCCCCGGCCTGCGGGGTGGTCGGCCGTCAGTAGCAGCCGTCTCTCCAGGCGCTGTCGCGAAGGGCACTGAAGGTGGACAAGCTCTTTGGAGGCGTCAGTAAACTGGAAAGGAAAAATAGCAATCGTATTAAAACTATCATCATCACAGTGCAAATAAATATTTTAAGAAATCCATAAAATCACTTAAAACTGAATATCCATGTATCATTACCAGCTTATGCACTGTAGCACAGTTAGAAGTTTCCAAAACTTAGAAAAGCAGCTACTTAAACTAGCATTTATTAGAACTACAGATGCTAACATCAGCACTATAGCTTAGCTAGCTAAAAAGGAAGCTATAAAGAAGCAAAAAAATCTTTCACTTTACAAGCTTCAAAAATAACTTTTTAGCTTTAGCACCATCACTTTATCCAACATTGGAGCCTAAAACTGAATTTTAAAAAAGCTAACATGACGGCAAAAATAGCTGCTAATAAAAGTAGATTTGAAAAACAGCAACGCCGTCGCTTCCATTGATATACGTTACTGGATTGTACTGCTATGCGCCGAGTCAGAAGAAAAAGCTCTGTTCTGAGACGGCGATAATCGGAGGTTATCATTGGCTGACGGAGTGATAATTTTCACTTTCTATTGTCAGGTGCTCAGATTGCCTGTCATACGTGAGCATTTGCTGATGTTTTAAGCAAATTCCTTCACCTTCGTGACGATAAAGCCGCCTTGCCGCGGGGGCTGGAGCTTGTGGGGCCCAGGATGGAGGCGGGGCGCGGGAGACCGCTGCGGGGCGCGAAGGGGGCGGAGCATCCGCCCGCTACCTTGCTGAGCAGAGGGATGCCGCTGCCGTTCAGAGACGTGAGGCTGGCGGACATCGGGCCCTTGACGGTCGGGCTGACGTAGGCGGTGGCTTTCGGTTGTTGCCGCGACAGCGAGGAGAAGCTCCCGAGGCTCTGCACCCGGTTCTGAAGCTGGCCTGGAGAGGGGACTACGGCGGAGGAGGAAACAGAACACTGACCCGATTGTCACAGAACCACGGAGAAGCGGCGGCGCCGGAGTCTTACTGGAGGACTGGAGGCGAGCCAAGCCGCTGGAGGAATCAAAGCTCTGGCTGTTACGAAGCAAAGAAGAAGAAGCGGCGCTGGAAGAGGTGGGGATGGGAACGCTGGGAACGCTGGGAGCTCTGACCAGGTTGGGCATGCTCCTCCGCAGCTTATCTGACAAAGACAAACAGGAATAAGCTTTAAAAGGTGACCTGCAGCAGATTTCATCTATAAATAAACCACAAAGTGGCCTGAAGCACAAAACGGTCGAGGCAGAGAAAACGGAAAACGTGTCTCTGTTGATCGTCTGCGTCTCTGAGGGTGAGGCGTCCAGGCGTCCTTCCCGCTCGCTGCCCCTCGGCTGGACGTAAAAACCCATCGCTAATCCCACCAAACCCTCAGAGACTGGAGCTCAGAGGGCCGCCGCCCAAGAGGCTTAGACGACTTTTGATGAGCCGCCCGGGTCAGACCCGAACAGAACAGGGCCTGCTTTTACTACAGACGAGGGGACAAAGCTAAAGTTCTGCATGCATTTACCTATTCTGGGTTAGAAATAGGAGAAAGGAAAGACTGGCTGAATAAAGGAAGAGGCTGAAAGAGAGAAACCAAAGGACTGAAGGATGATGGGTAAAAGTGAACCGGAGAAGTGAGCTCACCTGATCCTGGGTTGAAGCCCAGCGCCTCGATGCCATACGGGTCGCCCGGCCCCAGCAGCAGCAGCGCCGGCGGCGGTGACGCCGGGCAGGCGGAGCCGGCGGAAGGGCGCGGCGACGTGGAGGGGGTGGAAGGAGGGGTGAACAGGGAGCTGGTGCTTCTTCGCCAGTCGCGGACGCTGCAGAAGGTGTGGGAGTGCGAGAGGCGGGTGAGGCGCGGCTGCGGCGGCGGCAGGAGGGCGTAATCTTCGTCGTCCTCCTCGTCTTCCTCCTCCAGGCCGGGGCCGGCGCTGAGCTGGCTGAGCTGGAAGGTGAAGCTCTGGCTGCGGCGGCCGGCCAGGGCGGACGACGACGTGCTGGCGTAGTCCTGACGGAGACCTGCAGGGGGGCGACGTGAGGGGCGGCACGCAAAGAAAACGGCTCGAACAAAAAAAAAACAAACCGAAAAGGAACAGCAGTTATCACCTCCTGCAGTTAATGAAGCTGAAGTAGCGATGGGCTCTGAGGTCTGCATGTTATGTTATTAGATCGGGAGAAGAAGGGAGGAGAGAGCCAGGAAAAATGAGCAAACGTTTAACTCGTCTCTACTTTCTCTTACGAGTGAAGCTAAAAGTTCTCCAAAATTAAACACTGCTGATGTTTAGGAAAATATTTGGCCCACTTGTCTTTCTGGGTTCAAAAATCTTTGTGTCAGAATTCATTTCTGAGGTCAGACGCTGATGTTGGACAGGAAGTCCGTGAAGAAATACATTTCTGCCGGTAAACTGACACCCTGACCGCCGGCGTACTTACTTTCTTCTTGCAGCCGGGCCATGACCTGGACGTCCGTGAGATCTTGCAGTTTGTATCCGAGGCTGATGGAGTCGTCCTCCGACGTCGCCGGGTCGCTGTCCACCGACGACTCGGGGCTCAGGGTGGAGCGCCGGAAGCTCCGGCCTTCACACAAAGACAACGGGTTAACCTCTGATCACTGTGATTTTGCCAGATGAAAAATTAAATAAAAAGAAGCACAGACTCCCAACTCTGCACAGTCTGGTTTACCCTTCATTCTCAACCGGCTGCATTTAGCAACAGATGGTTTGATCTGCTCTTATTATTGACAGCAGCATCGACAACACATGACTGCAGAATTCATTCTGCTCCGATGGCTGCCGGTTTGTTAATAATAAGCCTTGTGGGCGATTGCTCAGGGCGGCAATCGCCCAAACGGCTGTAGACCCGATATGGAGGCCTCATCAGTGTCCAGATGTGACCGACCAGACCGAACCCAACTGTGTCCCACTCCAGAACCGACAGAGTGAGAGAGAGAGAAAGAGAGCAGGTCTGCCGATTGCAGTCATGGAATACTGCCTCTAGGGAGCGCCGGCAGCTCTTGACGCCCCCGTGGGGCTCACTCTGCTGACACCGACGCCGGCTTTTTCCCTTAACTAATGCGCCTTTTCTTTCTCTCCAGCAGCATTCGCATTAAGCTGAGTCACAGTGCAGAGACAAACAAACAAACAAACAAAAAAATACTTCTGGTGGAAAAAGCCGAGTGTGATCCGGTTTCCTGCAGATTTCGGTTCCGCCGGGGGGGAGTCTTACTTCGGTTGGGAGGGTGAGGGAGGAAGGTGGGCGTCCGTTCAGCTACAGGGGACAGCTCCTTCCCCATGGGGTTCAGGGTGCGATGGAGGACGGGGTGCAGCGGGGAGGAGAGGAGAGGAGAGGCTGCAGGGACGGGAAAAAAAAAAAACACGACAGAGGAGCTTATTTATTGCGCTGCAACAGAAAAGGACGACAACCTCGCACTGTAACTGTATTTTGGTGGAATAAGCAGTATGTTGCCACTTGTATGTTGCCAACGTTGGGCAGGTAAACTCAATGTTGTTGACCACTTTTGAAAAGACGTGAGAATCTGCTGAGTGATTTTAAAACCTGGGGGAGATTTAATCTTCAGACCTGGTGTCTGTGTGCTTGGCATCTGTTGGCCAACTACCTCTGGTCAGGCAGGTTCTAATAAAGGAATTTCTTGGTTCTGCAAGTCAGACTGCTTCCCTTTGTTGTTCTATCTTGTAAAATCCCAGAGGAAGTGCTGATGTAGTGCAGATACGGTTGTGTAGACGCTAGCAGTTTGGCTACCGTGTCTTTCGGTCGGCGGTGGGGTGAAGCAGGGTTTGGCTGGGGGGGGGACGCCGCTGCGGCTCGGGTCGGTGGGGTTCCAGGGGACGACAGGGAGCTACGCCACCTGGAGACTGAGGGAGGAAGGTAAACAAACATCAATTTGTGGATGTCATTGTTCAACATAGTAAAAACAGGCTCTTATTGTGTCTTCCCTCCCCCCTCCCCACCACGCTGCCGTTACCTCACCAGCAGCGTCTGTCACCCTCGGCTCTATTGAGCGGCTCAGCGCCCGTCAGAGGTCGGACAAAGCCGCTTTCAGCTTTGTGCCTCTGGAGAAAGCCGCGCTGAGCGCAGGGCCGACGTCTGTGCGTGAACGCGAAGCCTTAACTCGGCCGCAAGGACAGAATCCTCTCCTGTCCACCGTTTCCGTAGAAACGGCGCGCGGGGGAGAGAGATTAGAGGCAGAGCTAGCGGGAGGCTTTCTGATGCAACGGAGCGTGCTGCTGCCGCAACTTCACAGGCCCAGGCGGCGACCGGCGGTCTGACCGACAGAGTGTCTGAGAGACAGCATGCACACGTTCAGACAAAATAAAACATCACTGCAAAGTCAAAAAGGAAAACTGTTCCTTCTAAACAAAACGGCTTTGATCAGAGGAGAGCCACGCTGGTGGAGGATCAGTGATGGCGTGAGCTGCTTTTGGTCCACATCCCCCCAGGAATCTTTTCAGCCCCTCTACGAGCAAAACCGGCAGAGACCACAGACGCTCGCACTAGTTCAAGATCGACGGATGCCTTTTACGGTTCCCGCTCGACTTCCTCCCACCCGGTTCCTTCCCCCCAGGGTTACGTAAGCAGACGCGGCGTCAGGTGACCCGAGGTCTGATCCGTTCAACGTGTCGACAGATTAACGGCGCTCTGCTCTGCGTGGTGATCGAACCTCCGGCTTGTCAGACGGAAGCCGTAGCTTAAAGTCCTCAGAAAAAAACAAAGCTGCTTCCTATAGATGATAATTCAAATGTTGTTTATAACTTAGGGGTATTTTGATAAATCAGCTAAGTTTACCCAGTAACTCCTGTCTCCGTGTTTTACTTCAACGACAGAAAAAGAACATAAAGCTCTCTTCTTTTGAAATCAGGAGTTCAAAGTTGACGCCTTAGCTTTGTTTTTGTGAAATAGAAGATTCTGTGAAATGGAAAACCTTTCGTGGTTTCTGTCCGTGTTGCCTTGGTGCAGAAGATACAAATAGCAGAGATGCGAGGATTGAACCGTGAGGGACCTCGCACGAAACTAATCACGGTCATGTCGATGCCAGTTACAAACTTGATGGGTCGTTTCTTGTTGGTCTACAGAAAACTCATCTGCTTCAAAGTGGGCAGTGACGGCGTCTGTGGCGTGATTTCAAACTTCTCTGAATGAGCCAGACCCTGACACAACCGACGGGATATTAGAACTTTCTAAAAGTCCGTGGTTTTCCTGGAACATTCCCGGAACAGAACCAAAGAGTTCTGAGTCTTTGGTGTCATCTTGGCAAACTTGGGAACTTAGCCGACACAAAAGAATTGCCAAGTTTGACCTCTTGATCTGAACCCAGAGGGTTAAGGAGAACGCTTCAGTTTGTACCTTGTTCCAGTCGCAGAGACAACGACCTTCTGGCGACCTCCACGTCCGACTTGGGGCTGTCCAGGTTCTGCCGGCACCACTGCAGCGGACTGATGGACTCGGCTGAACTCTCTCCCGCTTTCGACGCGACGTATAACCTGGAGACAGAGAGGAGGAGGACGTGGGGTGAGTCTTTAGAGGCCGTTATGACCTGGGGTCACAAACGTTCTCCACAGAGAAGAAGTGGAACACAGTAGAGCTAACTCAGTCTGAAAAAGATTTTATGATCGATAAACGTCGATCGACGTTGGCCTACTTTTCTCATTGGTCGACGATGTCTTCGTTAGACACATTCAAACTACTTGTTCCCTCATTTGGAGTATTTCCTGAGGCCCAAATCGACCAAACTTAGTCACAGCTTCAGAGGGGAAGTGCTGCTTAAATCGTAACCCAGAATTCAGTTCACCGTTTTGATCATCTCAGGATTCCTGAACAGAATTCCTTCAAAGTCGCCACAGTTTTCCAGACTAAACTCCCCAAAGTTCTTGGTGATGTTCACTCATTTCACAATGTGAACTAAAATATTTGACTGTGAATACGAGGCAGGTATTTTTATATCTATAATTTGGTTGCAAACACAATGAGCGTGATGCAAAGTTTAACTGTGAAAGCTGAAAACAAGGTGGCTTGGTTGTGGCCTACTCAAAGTCCCTACCTGTGGGTGCCCTTAGACAAATCATTTATGCCCAGAAAGCCTTGAATGGAGCTAAAATGAAACCACGGCTGGAGGAACCATGGAGCCAACATGTAATCGTCATGGCACGGGCCTAGTGAGACACCGGTTCTGGTGGTCCACTAGAACTCAACTTTCCAGGATGTGAATCTGGGAAAACGCCTGAAAACTGCAGAGCAGCCTCTTCTGCTGAAGGGCTGCAGAGCAACACATGGTGAACAAAGAGCCCACACTCACCAGGTTTCATCAGACTCCTCTGAGCAGCTCAGAGACTCCAAGTCCAGAAGCTCCAACTCATCCAGAACCGACGGTTCCGACGCATCATCATCATCCTCCTCCTCCTCTTCCCCTGCGTACGGGTGGAAATGATCCAGCGGCTCTTCCGGAGGAGAAAGCGAGGTTCGGGGCGGCTGGATCAGCGGGCTCGGGAGGCGCTGGAAGCCCCCGGACTTGCAGCCTCCGGCGCGGCTCCGCAGCTGCTCGTTCTGCCGCTCCAGCTTCCGCACCAGCTGCTGCAGCTTCTTCACCTCCAGCTCGGCGTCCAGGCTGCCGCAGTCCACGTCCGCCGCGACGACGCGGCCCAGCACGGCCGCCTCCATCGGACCCCCGGCAGACCGGCTCGGGAACCGGCGTGGCGCTCAGTCTGCGCTCCGCAGCTGATTTGCGTCCCGGTTTGCGGCCGGAGGAGACTAATCCGTCTAGTGCGCCTGTCTGGAGACTTGGGAGGCTCCACCTCTTCCAGCCGACGCACCCGCACACCCGCGGCCTCCACCTCCCGGAACAAAGAGGCGAATTACAGGTGGATGCAGCACCTGTCAGTCTGAACTCAGGGCGAAAACCAGACTTATCCCTTCATAACGGCTTCTAAGAAATAAAAATAAAAAACCCTCAACTACTTCCACCAAACTTTCTACTAAATCATCTCGTTTAACTTCCTCACCGTCAGATTATCTACCGCTTAACGGATTTACTGGTAAACAAATTATTTAATTGATGACCTAATTGTTAAATCAGGTGCTATAATTAGGCCGGAGCGTTTCTGGACATCTGGCGCCATCTGGTGTCCGTGTGGTGATACTGCGCCTCACTCAGACCCACCCTGAATGTCCATCGGTTTTATCTAAAAGAAATCTTAAGTCTGCAATTGCAACGTCAAAAACTTAAATCCCACCTCACTGAAGTTTTTATTTCACATAAAAATCTGGAAAGTGCGGCGTGCTTTTTTGTCAAAGTGTCACAGAAACGCTTTGACAAACGTTTCACATCCATTTGTGCTTTGCTCCTATAAGGACCAGTTTTCAAGTTTCAGGACAGATTCTTAATTGGGTTAAAGTCTGAACTTTGACTAGGCCATGTAAGTGACAAATACCACTCCATCAGATCCATCCTGTCTCGGGTGTTTTCTTCTAGAATCGTCCCGGATGTTCCTCCACGATGCCGCTACCGCAGTGCGGTTCCGTTCTGGTTTCCTCGGTCCAGACCGGTGGAGGACACCAGTTGTCCCGTTTCCCCAGCAGAGCTCATGTCCCTCTGAAACAAAAACACTTTGACTCGTCAGTTATGGTCATTTAAATCAATATAAATGAAAAATTGCTTAAAAAACATGATTGAAGAATCACCTGGTGGCCATTTAGAAATCAATTAACCTTTTTAATGCTTGAAAAAAACTTATTTTCAGTCACTGCTGCACTTCAAATGGCTGAAGAGAGTTTTTGAGAAAATCTTCAAATTACTGATATAGATATAATTGTTGAACATTGAAACACATTATTCAGTTTGCCATGTAACAAACTTAAAGTTCAATAAGTCAGAAGAAAAAAAAAAGACACGTTTATGAAAGCAACATTAGATGACATGCCCGCTCTGTTTTTATAAGAAAATCTTTAATTTATTTCATCACAACAGGAAAAATGTTCATATTTTACAGCCTGGCTCCATCTACTGGACAGATAATGTCACTGCAGCAGCTGAGATCCTCAGCGTTTCTTCCAGGTGAACTTGCGCCGCGCTCCCTCCTGTCCGGGCTTCTTCCTCTCTCTGACCCGGGGGTCAGGGGTCAGCAGACCAGCTGCAGGGAGACGACAACAAGCTGAAGTCAGAGAAATTGTTCAGAAGAAACAGATGATGCTGCAGGAGGTGCTCACCTTGCCTCATGGCCTCCCCTTCGCTCTGCGACACGAAGCTGAGCAGCGCCCGGGAGATGGCGAGCCGCAGCGCCCCCGTCTGGCCGGATCTGCCGCCGCCGCTCACCGAGCAGTCCAGGTCGAAACGGCCCAGCAGGCCGCAGAACTGCAGCGGGAACATCAGCTGCTCCCTGAACAGATAGGAGAGACGGGGATGGGAGTAACGGGGCGGGGAGCAGGAGGGGGGGTGATAGTTAGCTGAGCTCATTTACTTGCTGGTCCCGCTCCGATCAGAGCAGCTTCTGACTCAGCACGACCCGGTTCTGGGTGGCGTCTCAGCCTGAATGGACCCAGATGCTGACAGAGTCGGTTGTCACCCCTGCGCTCCAATTACAGCCGGCGTGACAACGGCTAGCAGCACACACTCTCACACACTCAGTCATCTGTGTAATTAAGTGACTAGCAGCAGATAAAGTAAGACTGCCTTCCATTCCTTCAGGCTGCGGTGGACAAAAAAACCCCAAAAAACGTGCCGCTCGCCGTTTAAAGGGAAACGCAGTGAGAGGAGACCCACCTGTCCTGCAGCACGGGGAAGTAGTGGACGTAGTCTTGGCCGTTGACGGTGATCCGTCCTGCGCCGCAGTCACGAAGCACCACTGATGCCCTGGACGACTTCCTCCTGCCTGGAAGGAAACACGGATCGCTTTAACTCTCCTCCTCTAGTCGGTTACAGCTCCTCGCCGTTTGATTCGTTGTTTCTTGATTCACCCGAAAGGGAAATCAAAGGTTGTAACTCTGATCGTCCACGTGTCACGAGAGCCGTCGATTATGGTGTGGACAGGAAGGATCTCCACCAGCACTGGGCACGTCCTGACATGCCAACAGATCAGTATCCAGGCAACAAAGATTATATCCTTACAGTAACGTGTTCCGATGACATCACAAGCTCCTTCCTTTGCTCGTTTCCGGTCCTCTGTCTCGGACGAAAGGCGAGCAGAGAGACGTTGGGCTGTGATCTCCATCGTCAAGGATGGAAGAGAAGAGACGGTCTGAACTCTTTCCTTCTACCTCTGTATCCGTGAAAACTCATTTTAAACTCCCAGGATTTTGGGCTTTAAGTTCAGGTATTAAGCTTCGGAGATGCTAATCAGCTGTTCCCAGTTGGAAAACAATACCTTGTTGCCATGGTTATGAATCACAAGTGTCCTAAATTACACAACAGTAACAACAGTAACCCTTCCAAGTGCTCAGCATCCAGAACTGACTAGAGTGTCTAGAAACGGTGACGATTCAACCGGGGATTGATGACGTGTAGAAAAGAACAAATAAGGACCAGCTGAGCTGCTACTCATGCTGCCACCACAGTTGGAAACAGTCTACAGAAAATGGTAAAGAAGGTAACGAAGGTAATGAGTGAAATATCAGGGTTAGTATTTGACAACCGTTGCTAGAATAAAGTCTTCCTACCCTCTGCGGTGCTGAAGTCCACCCCGGCGTCGTCCTTCTGCAGCGGCGGCACCGCCTGATGCATGGACTGGGCCTCCAGCTGCTGGCGGTGGCTCATGACAAACTGCTGCTCCAGGTTGGAGCACGGCATGGCCACCAGGCGCTCCATCAGCTGGATGTAGTGGTCGTACTGAGGAGGACAAACAGCGGATCGGTCGGGGGTCAGGCTGGAGGTCAGATCTCTGCGGCTGGTCTTACGTCTTGACTGGAGATGGTCTCCACCAGCACCGCCTCCAGCTCCTCTTTGGTCAGCCACCTGCTGGTTCCCAGAGCGCTGCAAGAAACGGGAAGTGGGTTGGTTTTCGACAGAGACGGCTCTAATCTAAGAGAGGACATGTTTCAAAACCTACATCTTCTTGGCCTCGGTCGGGAACAGTCCTTTGGCTCTTAGCTGGTCCTGGTGCTTCTCCACCTTCAGAACTTTGCTGTACAGATCCTGGAGGGCAGAGCAACGATCAACTCGCACATTCTGCTGAGCCTGAACACGACCCGACCCGGTTGACTCAATTTACCGGACGTCACCTCTAAAACAAATTGTACCGTATTTCCCTCTAGAATTAATAAAGTCTTTTTGAATTGAAGGTCCATAATTTGTTTAACCACTCAAGCACTTTCTACAATTATATCAAGTAGTCATTTATACCAACATAACGTTAGCATATTAGTAACATAGCCTAGAATTAGTTATGTAATACACTAGAAAAAGCAACTTAGCAAAAATCAGCAAAAAGCTACTGCAGTAATGTTTGTTTTAAATCATTTTCACTAAAAACCTAGCATTTACAAACTTACAAAAAGAGAGTATTCCAAACATGGCAATCGCTAATACAGACGTGTGTCATCTAACATGGTGAGATTGGCTAACAAAACACTAACTGAAGCTTATATACTAACAGTAGCATGTTAGCTAAAATTAGCTTGCAGTTAAGCCTTAGCTAACATTATGTTATATCCTAGCAAAAGCATAATAAACCTGTTACGTGACCTCCTGCGTTTTGCTAAAACAACATTTTTTGTTAAATATCAGTGATTTTCAGTGAGATTTAGATGATAAAAATATAAAAAATACTTTTTTTCCTTGTACTAGGAATACCGCGTTACTTTCCAATGTGTCACTTCACTACTATCAAGTGTATCTTATTATAAAAGTAGCGGCTGAACTAATGTTAGCCAACAGATGCTGTTGTTAGAGGTTTTAATGATTTTCATGAGTGCCTACACTCTAGCGTTACCAAAATACTCACGCTAGCAACCTTGCTCAGATCTGTTCAGTCTTTTAAACTAGCTCAATGGTTCTTCAGACTTTAAAAAGCTTAGTTGACATTTTTTGTCGTTTTTTTGGCGCCTTTGACATAAAATAAAACATGGACACATGATGGGAGACAGCCTGAGTCACACGCTGCACCTACATGCATGAGGGAGTAGTAGGACGGTTTGCCGGTGTAGAACAGGAAGTGGAAAGGCCGCCCGTCTGGTCCCCACTGCACCGCTTCACAGGGAGGGAAACAAAGATCAGCTGACAGCTTGACGATGTCAAGATACTAAGAGATCTATGTGTGGAAGTGTCACCAACCTCTCTGCTTTGGAAAGATCTCAACGGGGTCCTGCAGATGAAAAACAAAAAAAGTTAAAACATGAAGCGGTTTGCGATGATCCGGGACGGCATAATGATTTTGATAGCCGTCGGAAAGCATGTTTGTTCTTCATCCGGTGAAGTTAAAAGTAATAAAGCTACTCATTGACAGTATGTTTTCCCAAAATGTTGCTAAAGTAAATGTAAATATAGCTACTACCCAGATATGAAAGCTAATAGGTTAAATTGTGATGATAAAAAACAGTAGTAAAGATATCTTCAATATCCTTGTTGGGATTTTTGATATTTTTAGATCTAATTATTCAATAGATTTCACTTAAAATAGAGAACACGCTCTCCGTCCTCTTCGTGCCCGCCAGCACAAGCCCCGCCCCCAAAAAGAGGCGGTCTTTGTGAAGGTTGTGTTGTTTGTTCTTTCTTTGGATTCGTCTGAACAGGATTTCTTTTAACGCCGTTTCGTTTTCTTGTTTTTCCTTCATACTTATAATTAATTCTGAATAAAATATACATAAATATCATGAGGTGGAAAAAAACTCAATGAATCTAACTGATAAAAACCTGTTTACTTTCCAGGAAGGGGATTAGAAACACTTCTAACCATATTCTTGGTGATGAAAGTTTGATTTGTTTGACTTATCAATACAACAAGAATTAAGGCCTAAAGAGGCTGGATTCAAGAAATGTAAAGAGAAATAAGTGTAATCATCGACTGCATGTTGAGCTTTGAAGGAGAAACGCTGCAGTTTGTGGTGAGTTGATAAAAGCTGGATAAAAGTGAAACCTCACCTTCATGATGGGCCGAGCGCTCTTCTCAAACAGGCCAGAGGGGAAGAGGTAGGCGATGCTCCTCTGTGGAGGGAGACGAGAGCAAAGAACAAAGATGAATAAATAAACGGTGAGGGAGCTGAAGTCCGGAGAACCCGGGTCGCCGAGCGTGACAGAAGAAGAGACGCGAGCTGCTGGCGGGTTCAACGAGAGGCGAGCCAGATCCGTTAGCGTGAAGCCGAAGGAGAAAAGCCTCTCGGTGGACAGGGTGAACGTCCGACGGGTTCACCGCGAGTTCACCACACGCCTGCTGTTAGCCGCCGTCACCGCCCCGGTCCTGTCAGCTCGATTAGCAAGGCAGCAGGTCCTTTAAGGTTGTCACGAATACAGAGAGCAGCTAGAAGGAGATGTGTGTGGGGGACTGTGAAAAACGGTGGGGAACAGATGAGGACACACCTGCGCCTCCCTGGAGATCCGACAAAATGCGGGCGAGAGCCGGGAGGAGCGGCGACGGAGTGCCAGAGGGGAAGCTGTCGCATCGAGGGGAAACTCAGCCACATGGGGAACACGGAGGTTACAGATGACAGAAAGACAGCTCCAGAAGGACAAAAGAGGCTCAGGAGACCATCAAAACTAACAGCAGAGATACATTCACTTCTCGCTGCGGGACCAGGGAGAAATGTTGCATTTTAAAATGAAGGAAGACAAAAAAATAAATAAATAAATAAAAAAGTCTCAGTGGAGTTTTAAATAAAACAAAAAGTTTGTTAAACTCTGATGATATAAATGTTTTTAAAAATAGCACTAAACTCTGATCTCTCCTGAAGACTTGCTATGATGCGAGTCTTCAGCTGCAAACTGAAGAGGAGCATTTGAATGACTGTCGCTCAACCGTGGGGCGTTCACTGCCTCGCATGGAAAACGACAAGTAAAACATCTAGAGAGGCTGTGGAGAAACCGTCAAGCCTCAGAGTTCAACCCGATTAACACATTTAGATGCATCTAAACACCATCCATCACCAAAAACTGTCTGAAAAATGTTGCAAAAAAACAAAAAAAGCAACTTCTGAGCATTTATGAATGACGTTTCCGCTGCTGGTTTCCCCCAATCAACAGGGCTTTACATAAAACAACTCCTAGGTTTCATTTCCCAGCTTCCGGTTCTCAGAAAGACATCCACAAAGTGATGATGATGCCTTCAGGGACCATACGTCCCGACTGGAGATCCGAGGAGCTGTCCCTCCGGTGTGGGAACATCTCGATGAATTCCCCGGCTCGTCCTCTCCGTCACGCCTGAGGCGTCCCAACTCCAGGTCCGGAGCGCCGGCTGTCGCTTCGCTTTTCACACTTCCGCAGACAGCTCTATCGGTTACTGGCGAGGGACGGAGTCACAGACACGCGGAAAATTGGGATAAATGTGTGGAAATTTAGCCAAACAAACACGGTGGGGGTGGGGGGGGGGGGGGGGAGCGGAGCACGGGCATCAGATGGGGGCCGGCGGTTAAATGTGAAACGCCGCTGCGGCTAGGAAGAAGAGAAGAAACACAAAGTCCAACTGTCTGCTCATCTGGGATCGGTCATATCTACCTGAATTATTTCTGTTTGCTAAAAGCCTCAGTAATGAAATGAGAAATAAATCATCTGGTGATCCTACAGTTACCCTATCAGAGGTCTCCAAATCCATGACATCATCTGGGCTCTTCACTGATCTTCAAAGAGACTGTAAATAGGGCCGCACCAACTGCGGTTTTCTGGTGGTTACTGAAATCTACAAAGCCATTCCGGTTTTAGCAGATATCAATTTTCTTTTGCCTGAAATGTCATTAAATACAGCAAGAAAGTCACTGAGTTGGCAACTGTGGGGCGACTATTGTTAACTGCAAACATGCAGACGAGACCTGGTGGGGAGGCTAACAGTGAAACCTCTGTCACGGCAAAAATCGGTGGTGGATTTTTAGACATTTGCTGAGGTAGATAATAGAAGGGAATAAGATGAACGTTGTTGGAGAAATTGTGATATTATTAATCAATTATTTGTTATTCTCATTGATCTTTATAATGTGTCTTTAATTGATGCTTTCCTTAAAGTTAATCTCATTATAGAATTAAGAATGTTTCTTGTATTGTTGATTTACTCTGATTCCTTTCTCAGAAGGCCTCACTGACAGAGAGCAGAAACAAAATCTTCCTGCAGGTTTACCTCTTGGTGAAGAGCTCTGCTTCGGTTGAGTTGCTGGCCTCCAATAAAACCATCATTGCTAAGATCACTACATATTTTATTAATCTTTGTGCCTGGAAGGACATTATCTAGTACAGAATGATTGTGTGTTAGTTAGTGAATAACATTTGACGCTGTAGCTGTTTGCCCCCTCCCTTTAGAGCTACAGCGTCCTTGTGATTAGGGATCCTAGAAACAATAAAATAGAGGAGCAGACAAAATGTGCTTCAGAGCGGTAGGAGATTGTAACTGAAGCACATCTCTGTCCGTTCTCCTCGCGAGTAAAAAAGAATCTAACTCTTTTGTCTTTTCTGTCTTTGTTAATGTATGTTTAACAGGTGTTAACCCTAACATTTTTGGTCCTTCGAGCCGGATGTCATATACTGGAAAGATTCCGGCAGGTGTGGCGGACCCCAGTAAGACCGTGCGCACGGCAAGAGAACCTGTTAAAGGACTGGGCTCGGCCTGCCTGCTGGGATCTGAAGGTTGACGACACTCCAGGGAAAGACAAGAGAGGGAGTGATTCTTCTTTAAAAAGTGGCGAATGACGTTTTAGAGAGTAAGTCATTCTTCTGTGTGGGAGAAGAGTGACTTCTTCTTTGACTGAAGGTTGTTGCGCGCACAAGTGAAAACCCTGTCAATTCTAGACTCTAACAGGTAAAAATAGTTGCACAAAATCCGTGTAGGGCAGCGGAGTCCTGGCGCAAAAGTTCCGCGATAAGGTGTACGGAGCCTGGTGCTGCAAGGTTGGAGACCTTGTCCTGTTGTGGGCAACGGGGCCCGACGAATACCCGTGTTTAAACGGACGGCGGAGTCCGGCGATAACAGGCGCTTAAATTCCGTGATAAAAAAATAAAATAAACTAGAAAATAAGGGTTGGTAAACCTTACCTCGCTGGAGGTCTTGTAAAACCCTACTGGGACGAGGACTTGCAAACCTCACCTGGTTCGGGGTTTTGCAACCTCACGTGGTTTGAGATCTTACGAACCCCACCTGTTGTGGGAACGGGGCCCGACGAATACCCGTGGTTAAACGGACGGCGATAACAGGCGCTTCAAATCCGTGAAACAAAAAAAAAGTGTGTGTATGTGAGCGTGATTGGAGGTATAAATACCACTTGGTATTTTATCTCATGTAAAACAGTAGGATTGTGAGCAGCAAACCTCTTGTGGATGCACAGGCAAGAACTCTCCACTCGAAAGAGTTGAAGTGAGAGTTACCACAACAGGTTCTTTCAATTGCTGGCCTACTGAATCAGATCTCCAGTTTCTAGGACTCCCTAGGAGTCGGCACAACTGGTCCAAATTTTTACAAAAAAAAAAATGGGGAAATGGATAAATGGATAAGTAAAACTAAGCCAACAGACAGTCTAAAATCAAACGACTGGAAAGTTATTAAAGATCAGGATAAAATAAAACAAAAAACAAATTCAACTGAAAAATTGTACGAGGAAGGGTATGATGATGTACAATTAGTAGCGAAAAAACGAGAAAGTGGGGAGAAAGAAATTACAAAAGAAAAGGAAAAGGTTCCAGGAGCCTTTTTCCAGGATGAGGAACAAGTGTTTTATCAGGAGGGGAGAGGAAGAGAAGGCTTTAGGGGCAGAGGTCAGAACCTTAGAGGTTTAAAAGGGAGACGTGGGAGAGGAAACTACAGGCAAAGTTACTCGGGTGCTGGTGTTGCGGGCAGGAAGGACATTTAGCCAGAAATTGCCCAAGAAAAGAAAACAAAAAAACACAGGACAGTCAGCATGATTAAGATCAGAGAAATTGGGGAGTGAAGAGGTCCAGTTAAATCTTCAGGATTTACTTTCTATGGACAGCATAAGACCTGAAATACCTCTCCTAATAGATGGCAAACCTGTAAATTTCCTCTGTGACACGGGTGCATGTAGAACAACATGTAGAGAAAACATTCTTGGGTAAAATATTTGTGGTGAAAAATGTCAAGATCAGCTACAGGAATAAAAGAAGGGATTTCTTTGTTGTCCAGGGACACAGGGAACTGTATTACTTTTATTCATTGGATGTGCCCAACAAACCCCCACACAACACTGCACAAACACTTCTGGCAGAGGGGCATAAAGCCATTTCTGCCCTACAGGATCAAAAGTCTCCTGATGATTTGCATGTCACACTTTGGTTCAAAACAGTTCCTGGGCCTGATAGGAACTATGAAGCGAGACTCAACAAGGTCACCCCAGCCAAGATAACTGTGACCTATCTGTACACAGACACAAAACATGTGACTGATCCACACACATTGTTGAATTCTCTTAGATCAGATGCAAAAGTATTCACGGTTGTAGACATCAGTAAATGCCTTTTTCTCAATACCAATTGAGAAAGAGAGCCAATTTTGGTTTGCTTTTACTTTTGAAGGGAAAAGATACACGTACACCAGACTACTTCAAGGCTACTGTGAAAGCCTACAATTCTCTTTCAAGTAATGAGTGCAAGTATGTAAACTTTTCAACCCCCAGGAGGGAGCCAAGTTTTGTTGTACATAGTTGATGTTTTATTGGTTTCTCCAGACAGGGAAACCTGTAAGCAAAACACTTTAGCGCTTCTGCAACATTTAGCTAAAGAAGGTCATAAGGTTAACAAAATAAACTTTAACTGTGTAAACGAAAAGTAAATATTTGGGTCATAATTTGAGTGAAGGAGGACAAACCATAGCGGAGGATAGAAAAACGACAATTCTCCAAGCTCCCAAACCACGAACAAAAAAAAACAGATGATGTCCTTTTTGGGGTTGACTAACTATTGTCGAAACTGGGTGCCTAATTATGCAGAAATTGTGGCAGCTCTGAATAAATTAATGTAAAAAAGATTTTAAAATGTCTTCTTCTTTGTTGTGGGCAGATGAAGCAGAAGGACTTTGGAAACTAAAACAGGCCCTCGTGTCAAGCGCTGCGTTAGCGTTACCAGATTATCAATAAAAAAAAAAAATCTTTTGTTCAGATGGTGGATTGTAAAGGTCATGTCATGACCTCGGTGCTAGTCTAACAGCATGGTGATAAAATGAGACCAATAGCATATTTTTCTTCAAAACTTGATAGTGTAGCATGTGCCTTACCACATTGTGTGAGAGCTGTAGTTGCTGCTTCTATGGCAGTAGAAGTTAGAGCTCCTATAGTTCTGTTTCACCCATTAACATCAAAAGTAACACATGCAGAATTATTAAAAGAATTATTATAAGTCGTGCACCTACCAAAACAACTAGCAATCTGTAAATGTGCGGCGCACACTGCAGGGACAGATAAGGTGTCCCTAGGGAATGCTTTTGAAGACAAATAAAAAAAAAAAAAAAAAAAAGCAGCTGAGGGAGAGATAAATGTATTACATGTGGACGTAAAAATTAAATTTATGAAAGAAACTTTAAGAGACATGCAACAATTAAGTCCTCAAAATGAAAAGGATTTATGGATAAAAAAATGGAGCAAAATTGGAAAAATTATATGAAACTGAACCTACTTTACCAAGAAAAAGATGTGTATAAATGGGCTGCAATATTGAGCCATGGCGTTTTCGCATGTCTCAACAGGGGGGATGGTAGGATACATCAACATTACACTACTTATGGATTTATTTCTTATTTAAAAAATTTCTGTAGGACCTGTTTGATATGTGCTACACATAACTCTCAGGGCAATCTAAGATCACATAGGGGAAAATTTCCTACTCTGCAATATCCATTTCAAGTAATGCACATGGACTTCATAGAATTGAATAAAAGTGAAGGACAAAAGTATTGTTTAGAAATAATTGATGCTTTTCTAAATGGATTGAACTTTTTCACTAAAAACCCAGATGCAGCGGAAAAGCCAACTTGGATACATTTAACACACTGCAAAAATAAATTTCATTTCAAAAGTAATTGGGAAGCAAGCTCAAGACGCTCACCGACCTACAGGGCAAAGTCCAGGTTACAAAGGGGGTTAAACCAAATAGTTTTTCCGTCTCAAAACTGGTGAAGATTGTCCACAACCCTGTAGTGTCTTTAGGAGCAGAACGGACTTGCACATTAATGAAAATAACAAGTGAATATATCTTTTTGTTTTTATTTTGTGTTTTTCATCTGGGAACAATTCATGTCATAAATGAAAATGTATTTCTTGTAACACTGTTTACAGAATGAGGATGAGTATTCAGGTATGTTTTCCACCTAGTTCTGTTATCATTGTTTTAGTCTCCTGGGCAAGTATGACGTCGGCAAACTACAGAGATTAAACTTGATGTATGACAAATGATGTTTTAACACCGGACTGTTCTCTCTGTGAACAATGAATTTAACCCTGTCTTTCGTGCAGATGTCTGGTGGTGGTGCAGTGGTGACAAAATTTTTAATAGATTACCTAGGAAGGTAACAGGGATGTCTGCATTAATTTCTTTATTATTGCCTGTTTCTGTTATCCAATGACTGCTGATCATTTAATTCATGCTTTAACTGATGTTGTGCCTCAGCAGTGACGTCAGTTGCAGAAGCGAGACCTGACCTGGAGGAACAATGATCCTACATACATCGATGCCATTGGTGTTCCCCGTGGTGTACCAGATGAGTATAAATTGGCCGACCAAACTGCAGCAGGATTTGAGTCCACAATTTGTTGGTGGTGTACATTAAACAAAAACGTTGACAGAATCAACTACATCCATTACAATGTACAAAAACTGGGCAACTGGACACAGGCAGGCTTCGAGGCGGTGCATGAGCAGCTGGCCGCTACATCACTGATGGCTTTCCAGAACCGCATTGCACTTGACATGGTGCTGGCTGAACGAGGGGGAGTGTGTGCAATCTTTGGTGAAAGATGCTGCACTTTTCTACCCAACAACACAGCGGCTGATGGCAGCCTGACGAAGGTCATTGAGGGGCTCCGTACCCTTAATGGTAAGCTGAAGGAGTTCTCTGGAGTGAATACTTCCAGGTGGGACGACTGGATGAATGTTTTGGAAAGTACCGAACCCTTGTGTCCTGCTTTAGTGTCGATGGCAGTCTTGCTGCCATTCTAACCTTGTGTGGATGCTGTTGTATTCCTTGCCTGCGTTCTTTGTTTAATCGTCTCATCACTACAGCAATTTAGCCCATGGGGAACCAGATGACGCCGATGTATCCTCTACTAGTAAAAGATCCTGAGTCTGACAGAGAAAGCTCTGATGAGGACTCTTTTGATGTGTTTCCTGATTGTAAGTTTTGGACTGAGTATAAACTTTGAGTGTAAACGTGTTTGCTTTCTTAAAAAATGAACTCCTAGTTGAAAATTGTTTGAAGTGGCTGTTTAGGAGAGATATGAGAATTAGAACAAATATTTGATAAACAGGGGGGAAATGTTGGAGAAATTGTGATATTATTAATCAATTATTTGTTATTCTCATTGATCTTTATAATGTGTCTTTAATTGATGCTTTCCTTAAAGTTAATCTCATTATAGAATTAAGAATGTTTCTTGTATTGTTGATTTACTCTGATTCCTTTCTCAGAAGGCCTCACTGACAGAGAGCAGAAACAAAATCTTCCTGCAGGTTTACCTCTTGGTGAAGAGCTCTGCTTCGGTTGAGTTGCTGGCCTCCAATAAAACCATCATTGCTAAGATCACTACATATTTTATTAATCTTTGTGCCTGGAAGGACATTATCTAGTACAGAATGATTGTGTGTTAGTTAGTGAATAACATTTGACGCTGTAGCTGTTTGCCCCCTCCCTTTAGAGCTACAGCGTCCTTGTGATTAGGGATCCTAGAAACAATAAAATAGAGGAGCAGACAAAATGTGCTTCAGAGCGGTAGGAGATTGTAACTGAAGCACATCTCTGTCCGTTCTCCTCGCGAGTAAAAAAGAATCTAACTCTTTTGTTTCTGTCTTTGTTAATGTATGTTTAACAGGTGTTAACCCTAACAACGTGGTAGGTTAAGGAAATCGGTGTTGATAAATGGCCTGAACAATAAATCGGGGCATCTCTAACACACCGAATATTCTGAATGTAGACTTCTGACCTTAAAGACAATAATAAACAACACTTTCTCTCATTCGTTTTCAAGGACATCTATTGACCTGCTTCACACAACCATAAAGATGCTTCTTAACTCCAAGTGTGTGGCTGTTTCCATAGCGACCAAACTCACGTCTATGTCCTCCTGGGTGAAGTTCTCGGGATCCTCTCCCATCATGTTGGCCAAGTGCCGCTTCCCGAGCTCAAACTCCTCCACCTGCTTCTGGATGAACTCTGGGGTGAACTTCTCCGGCCCTGCGGTCCCCAGGTTCTTCCTGCGGACGGTTGGAGTCCCGCATATCTGCGAGTGGGGGGAGAAACAGCAGCGCTGCTGTCATTCGTTAGCATTAGCCTGGCATGGCTAACCGTCTCTTGCCGCAGCCGAACTGGACCCGACGGGTTCAGAAGTCCAACGAACCTCAGCTCGTCGCCACGCTTTGCTTAAACAATCCGTGACGTCGACATGTTTGTAATTTCAACGATTCGTCAAGCTACTCTCGGATGGCAACAGCGTGTTAACGCAAGGACGTCCATGTTTTTACCATTTAAATACATGACTTTTCATGCAAAAAGAGAAGCATTCACGGACTGTTAGTGCTTGTTTACCTGTCGGCAGACTTGCAGCGTCACTGGCCTTGTAGACGAGGCGAAATTGACACTTTTGCCCAAAAACGACCCGACAATTCGAGCACAGTTCGCCGCCATCTTTGGTGACGACAAACGCGTCAACGGCGGAAGTTGGTGTGCGTCACCACGGCGTACGATTTTCTGAAAATGTAAACACAACTGTAAATATTGTTGTATTAACTGATTTCGTATGACTTTATTTGTGTTATTTTAAATATAATTGTATAAAATGATTAATTTATGTCGGGTTTTTACTAAAATAAATATAAAATGACATTTAAAAACACAAAACTCTTGGACAAGTAAATTAATTAAGAAATACAATCCACAAATAAAATTATACATACAAATAGATTTTAAATATTTAAAAAATTTACATAGAAAAAAGAGGATTTATGACACTGATTAGTTTTCCAATTTAAAGTAACATTAACTAAAAAGTCGAATGTATCAACTCCACCGTAAGCTAATATTTGGATGAAGAGTCTTCAGATTGCAGCATTCAGCCTAGTTTAAAACAGCCAATAATCAGAAAATCCAATGAACCTGGAGTAAAGTTTAGGTGTTGTAGTAAATTCTAACCCTCGGGAAACAATAGTAACACATTACCAGACGAGCATAGTAAGAAAAGTAGAACCAAGTGGTGGCAGCATCATGCATGCAAGACTCCTCATTAGAACAAAAGAGTTCAAATTCTAATTCTAAATGAATACCAGTCGCTTTTGATTCACACCCTTTAGATCCGTCGTGGTGATGGTCGTGGATTTTATTTTCAACATCGCAGCGAGCCCAAGCATTCTGCCAACTCTACAACAGAATGACTTCACCAGAAAAGCGTTTGCAACGGGCTTGGTTCTGGGTTCGGTCCAGAGCTAAATCTGGCGGAGATGGCTCGGATCTGCAAAACAGGGACGCCAATTTGTTGAAGTCTGAGCTGTTTCTGATGTGAGCAGCCCAACACATGCAACTACTTTGTCGGTTTCTGCAACTTTAAAGTAAAGCACGGGTATCATGACAAAACGTGCACGCACACACACATAGACACTCGCGAAAAAATGAAAATCACAATCCAAACCACATGACTGAGGGCCAGGGCCAGCAGTGACAAAAAACAAGACAAATAAAAATGGGATTTGTTGAGTCAAAGTCGGTGCAGTTGTTCCCAAAGACAGCTGCCACTTCTTAAATCTGAAAGGCAACACATCTCAGAATGAAAAACATGCGGACCACACGGCTCAAATGAATGTCAAGAAACAAAGAACTCAAAGAGCTTTCTTTGTGTTCCTCATTAAGGCTGTAAATAATAAAAAAAGAAACCCAATCAAATTAAAGTAACCTTGCTTGCAACCACCGGTTAAATGTACAACTTTAGCGGGAGAAAGCTGAAGGAAAAGAAAACCGTGACTGGAGCATACGGATGCAGAAAACATTGCTGTCCACTGGTGGACACCATCTGTCTTCAAAGTGAAGCCACGGACTCAAAGAAAAAAAACCCAAAAGGGAATAAATGTCATCACAACAGGATTTAAAAGGAAATGATCAGTATGACTGATCAGAAATGACACAAAGAAAAGATTCAGCCGGCGTCTGCCAGACACATTGGCACAGCTAAAAATAATTTGTTTTGCATATGCAGTTCCATCCATGAAGAGACAGATTAACACATTCTGTGCAGATTCCTTAGAGGGAAACAAACTGCCACATCACCCGAACTTTACGGGCTGAAATCGGCGTAAAGACATTTCGTCAAGTCGTTGCTGTTCCCTTGCTTTGCTTAAAATCACATAAAAAGTTTGTGCGACCGCAATCAAATGTCACCGTCAATAAAGAGTTCAGCAGAACGCGACCGCACATAGCAAGGAATCGTCGACTCCAGGAATGAGTCGAATGAAGGGATGTAGAGTCTAACAACTCCTAGAGGGAAGGACTTACAATAACGCTCTTTTATGCACTTAGGATGCAGCTTATAACATGATTAGCTGTTAGACTAACTAGCTAATAGCTTCAGTGACAGACTACACATTAAGTCATTAGTTTAAGTAGTAGCTAACGTGTGTTAGAAATAAGTTTTTTTAGGTAGCAGTTAGCTTAAGCTGTTCTTAAGGCTACTGGCTACTGTTAGTTGTATTAGCTTTTAGGATAAAAGCTAGCAGCTTATCTGTAGCACCATGCGCTGGGGATACACCCATCGTGCTGAAACATGGCTGTCATGCCTATTAGCATAAAAGCTAATGGCTTTTAACTTTTAAAAGTTGATGCTTTAAATGCTGTTACAGCTTAACCAGTTAGCTTGATTACCTGCTAGCCATGGAAGCTGCTACGTTGAATGACTAGCATGTTAAGTGTTGTAATTTTTCTCATATTTCTGTCAATTCTGATCAGTCTGACTGCTGCCTGGCCAAACAACTTATTTCACAAAACCAAAATGTCTTCTGTCCTTCACGTAGACTCTGTCTTGTTCCTGAGATTTTGAAACCGCTTTTTCTCAACAGAAGTAGCAAAATTCTTTTTTTAGGCGCTGGCTCCTCTTCCATGTTGTGTGTGTGTGTGTGTGTTTAGAGTACAGTAGTATGCTGTGCTTACAGATCAATGTTGTGTGTCTTCACTTAGATTACTTTGATAGAGTTGGAACGGGAACACGGGGAGATTAATCAAAGTGAAGGGGCACCGACTCCCGGCCCGTGCCAGTCGATACGGCCACGTGGTTAATTTGCCCCGAGGAGGGCTGTCGTCGGGCCGATGATAAACTGTGTTTGCCCCGTTTTTTCGCCACGAGCGCGAGCCTGCTCGCCAAGAAAAATAGTTTCGACCCGTGGTCTCTAATTCACAGTGGGGGGTGAGAGGTGGAACATTAATCATGCTTCTGTTGTGGCCCTTCCCAGACAGGAGAGGCTCCGTGGGTGAATTGGGTGGAGATGTTTTGTGGATGCAGGTAAACCCGGCAGCCGCAGCATTTATCTGCTTGGCTTTGTAAATATGTCAACAGAGCACCGTTGACGTCAAGCGGCAAACAGGTATGAACCCTGTGCGTGTGTTTTCGTTCTTCTTCGACTGAAGTCGTCGCGTGAAGCGTCAACGGCGATGGCTCCCATCCAGCCGCCTCAGCAGACTCCCGTATGGACAGCAGAGATTCCAGGACGAGAGAAACACAACAATGGGTGACATTGACCTCCCCTCGCTATGCCTGATCCCCAGATTGAGAGGCATCCTCTTATTCGTACGTCTGAAACGGCGATGGAGCGAGAAATAATGGAGGATATCACGGCATGGAGCTTTGCCAGGTCTGCTCCCTTCCCCTCCGTCTCTCCTCCCCGAGTGCCGGAGAATTGAAAGCTCCTAATACCAGCGAGTCGAGGCTTTGCTCCAGTCATCATTTCCATGCTGCTTTACGCTGATTCCCTAATATCCTTAGCGCCATGCGTAGGGATAAGCCCATCGTGCCGAAACATGGCTGTCATGCCTATAAACCGTTCACGGCTCTAAAGAATCCATTATGGCTGCTCCACAAACATGGGGACTCAAAGGGCCACTTTCCTCAAGCTCATTTAGTCTTTTAAACATATTTATTTACACTCAGAGCCGTGCTGGGGGGAGCGCTGCGATACCCTACAACACAACAGAACTGGATTTAACTTAAAAGTGGTCATTTGAACCATAAAGCAGACATTTAACCTGCTTAACTTCATCCTTCCTATGATGAACGCGTTGATCCTTTGGTGCTCACTGATCAGTACGCGGTGCCTCGAACAGTTCGGAGGGTTTTTTTTTTTTTTTTGTCAAATTATTCGGGAATTTTTTGCATCTCATTTCTAAAATATTCCAAAGAGAGCTTGGGCAGCTGACATTCTAGAGCTGCTTGACGCGCTATTGGCTGGTGTTTGTGAAGCACCGTTTGTTTTTCCTTGTAGCTGATTGGCTGTTTCGCTAGAAACAAACTACCGGTACAGGAAAAACAGCGTATCCTCTGTCATCTGTGGCTATGCTAACTAGCCTAGCATTCACAACAAGTTCTGCTGATTGGGGAAAAGCTGAAGTGGTAGCAGAGAGTAAGTGGAAGGGTGGATGAGCAGCACCATACAAGTTTGTGATTGACAGCGCTAAGGCCTGCCTCCTATATATTTATATTTCTTAATAAAAGTGACATGCTGCTGCTTCTTCAAAGCTTACCATGGTGTATCTGGTGTTTGAACTATTTAGATCCAGAACGCTTTTTTTTTTAGCTGTGGCCCCCGACCCCTGTGAATAGCGAGGGGTCACTGCGGCCTCTCCGATCCTGCGACCTGCGGCGGCAGTCCGTTGTTTCAAATCGACATCTGCTCAGTGTGAGGCAAAGCGACTCAAACGCCACGCTTCACTTTCTGTCAGGAATAACTTCATCCCCTTCTTATTCACACACACACACACACACACACACACACACGTTGATTACCAACAAGTATGGCCATTGAGTGGAAATTAATTTGCCAGTGGTAATGAATAGAGACGTTTTGCTGAGGAGCGTAAAAACAGCTGAACTGCCAGCGATTACCTGCTGGAATCAGCCTTCATCAATATCAGGATAATTACAAAGCGCTCCTGGCATGGCGTGAAATGAGCGGAGCGTGCAACAGATTGGGCGGTGACCAGAGATGTCTGCAGGTATTAGCTTCCTCCTCCTCTAAGGACTTCTCACGGAGCCACTGGCACCAAAACTTCATTGAGAATCTCCAATATTTTGAGAGGTTACAGTCGCAAAGAAAAAAAACGGGGCTCGGCGAGTGTTGGCCGCGAGTTCAGATTGTTGTTTTTCACATGACGAATGACTAAAACCTCCGCATTTACTGCAGTTTCCTTAAAACACCAAAGTGGGTCAAGAAAAGGCCTTTTGTCCACTTTCCTGGACATCCAAAGCAAAGTGCAAGACTGTAGACACTGGCATAAGAAAGTCAGATGTTGGTGTTGATTCCTGTCTTTCCCAGACATCTCCCAACACGTCTCACATGGAACCACTTTGCCTGTCCCCCCCATTCCTCCCGTCTCCCTTTCTGTCCCCTCAGACGGAGGCAGGATTGAGTTTCTGCTCAGACTGGAGGCTTTTCAGTCCACCTCTGGGATGAAAAGATGACTATTCCCTTTTTTTTACTTGGTACGACTCTTTTTTT